CAAGCCCTTGAATCAGAAACCATTTATTCTTACATTTTAGTTTTTACCACAAGTGTCAGGATTAGTTATGATTTCTTTATGCTCCAATACTGAAAAAATTTTGACTCAAGTGCCTTAAATACTAATTTACAATCCACTTTAAAAGAATTTCTAAAATTTTCTAAAAGAGTTTTCATAAGCTGGTCAATAAAGATTAACCTCTTTAAAAAAGTATTTGTGACCTTTGAAGAGGAATGCAATTTTGTTCCTTTGATTACATTAGCCACCAAGTAAAGGATCCAAAGGGGGTAAAAGAGGCACAATTTTTAGAAACACAATAGATTTTCAATGTTTAAATTTTGATGGGTCATCATTGATTAAATGGATTAAATAAGTCCTATTTGATTTGATTAGAAAGAATGCCAAAATATTTAAAGCATATCTTTATCTTTTACGTAATACCAGTAGAAACATAAGTGTGCAATTTCATAAATTAGAGTGATATGCATCAATCACACCATACACTTTTTTACTTTACTTTTTCCTGAAAAAAATCGCATATACTTAAAACTTTGGCTATATTTTGTAACTGCCATTTCACCTAAATTATTGAAGAATTTTTGGAAAATATTTTTTATTTTTTAAAACTTTTGAAGAACTGCACCCAAAGTGTTTTAAGTAAATTCCAACACAAATTTAAAACATGATTAAAGAATCAGATCAAAATAGTATGTTCCTCTCTTCCACACATGCACAATCCAATCTTTTTCTCAGGTATCAGTAAATATCAACAGGATAATTAAGAGGCATTATTGCTTTCTCAAGAATCATCCACTAAACACTGCCCAAAAAAGGTACTAGTTTTCAAAAAAAAATCCAGATATCCAAACATTTAAACAGACTCGTTCTTTAAGAGAATGAAGACGTTTTCCCGTTGTCAAATAAGCAACAATGCATTATTTAGTATTCATTTAAAAATCGGTGGTTTAAAAGAAAATATTGTTGAATATAAACATTTCTTAAACTTGTTTATTTTCATTTTAAATATTAAAATGTATGGGGGAAGGGAGAGAAAGTGTGGGAAATACAGAATAACTTGTTGAGAATTCTGTTTTTAATTAGGGAATTTTATAAAGATATCTTGTTGCTGTTCTTAAATTAATTCTGCATCAGAAGCCAAGTGATTTTTTGGTCTTGAATAGTAATGATACAGATTCTCTTTACCAATAATGTATATATTAACTACATTTATATGTGATTTTATTCCTGTTCCTCTAAAGAAAACCTTAGTGCTTGTCATCAGGCACTAATGATATAATTAACATTAATTAATTTTGCCAGAGCAAGTAGTGAATTTATCTTTATTTTCACAACTGATAAAAAAAATCACCATTTAGCTATTTTGCACAAAATACATGAAAAATCCAGTAGTTTTATTTTGACACAAGAAATGAAGCCACTCGACTTTTGGGGGCTTTAGCAGGCATGAATTTGCTGACATCCAGTGTGTTAAGTTTGTAACCTGTTTTTCCTTTCAGTCACATTTCCCCCTCACTTTAGTACCCTACAGCCTCAAGGATTTTTTTTCCCTCCTCAAAAAACATTCACGATTTAGAGAAACACTGTCTCCATATGCCCTCAGTAGCTGGTATAAGAGATGACGAAAAGCTCAACAGTTGAGGTTACTTCGCCGAATCTTGTCAGAGCTTCAGCACGTTAATGCTGTGCCTTTGAGCCAGTGCAAAGATGAAAAAACAGTCTTTAAGCATCACAAATATGACCCCTCGTTTACCCCTGGAGCACCTCACACACGTTCACGGACGGGTGCACGGTTTTGCTCCTACACCGTGAGCACAGAAGCCCAGGTAAGAGTCGAAAACGTCAAGATTTCTTTGGGCAACTCACTCAAGGAAACCAAAACGTTGCTAAGTCTTCCGAAGTCGCTTCCATTCTAGTTGCTTCCATCGTGTCACGAACACCCAAACCCACACAGGACAAACTTCCTCGAGACGCGGGCGAGCGGAGGGCGGTTCTCGGAGAACCCGCCTGTTCGCAGGTGGCCGGGCAGCCCGGGAGGGACTTCCCGCGTCCGCCGCCGCCGCGGGACTCCGGCC